TCCTGCTTTAAATGCGGCCAGGAAGGGCACTGGGCAAAAGATTGCCCAACTACTACATCCAACGTAGCTGCTGGTGCGATAGAAAACCAGAAGTTCGAAGCCACTGACAACAGAAGCTATGGCATGAAAAGTGGTTCATCCTGCTTCAAATGCGGCCTGGAAGGGCACTGGGCAAAAGATTGCCCTACAATTACATCAAATGCAGCTGCTGGTGCGATAGGAAACCAATCAACTGACTCCTGTTTGCAAGAGAAGCTGCCACCAACTGACTCGAGGCTTAGGCCAGATTAGAGACACTTGGAAAATGGTGAATATGAGCTGGCAAATACAGAGAAACTCAGACTTGAACAGTTGCAAAGACAGGTATGTGTTTGGCTGAGTAAAGCTCATTAACAACTCCTCAAACTGGCAAATGCAGACAAACTCATACTTGAACAATTCCTCAAATAATTGTATCGCCATTTTTTATTTTAGTTTTTTAAAGTGTAATATTACAAGTTATTGAAGAAAATATATGTGTTTTATGTATATTATGATTATATACAAGTATTTGGTACAATTTAAGTGAAAAAATGCATAAAAAAAAAATTAATTTTTTTGGGCACTTTTGGCATCGGTTTTGAACAGAACCGGTGCTAAAAGAGTAGTTTTTCGCACCGGTTTTCGTCTAAAACCGGTGCGAAAATACTGATTTTGCACCGGTTCCAAACCGGTGCTAAATTGGGGTTTTGAACCGGTGCGGATTACGTGTTTTCGCCTAGTGAATGAATGTAAGAAGAGGCAATTGAATGCTTTTATACCTTTGCTTAATAGAGGAGCTGGACCCTTGAGGTCAAGTGGGTTTGCCACGTTGACTGGACCATTGACTGACTTGGCATTTAGGCTGGAGAGTTGAACCTTGCTTTTGAGCTTTTGTAATTAAAACATTTGGATCGGCCCAATTGGATGATTGAATTAGACCCAAACATTTATGTAATAGTCCTTCAATGTATTTTAAGTTGATTAGCTTTAGTAGAGATGTCACAATACATTAGCCAAGTATAAATGCTGGATTAACATGATCAGAGTCAAGCTAGCTGAACTGAACAACTGCATTTGATTTGATAACTCTAGTGTATGACAACTTCAAATAAGGAATCATAGAGGAAAGCTTTTAGTACACAACAGATGCTTATAAAGAACTAAAAACGAATACATAGTACGGAGATAAAACTACAAAACTTACTAGCTAACTCACTATATAATGTTCTGTTTTCCAAATCAAACACTTACGAATGACTATTATCAACAAATCGATGAGGAAAATAGAGCAACGATATATACTCAACTAAGACTCAAAGTATCTCTAAGACTCAAACATGCCTAAAATTATAGTCACATTTATAACACTAACATAAAAGAATATCATTTAATAGTCTATTTTTATATTACAGAATCAATTTAAGCTTAGATTTTGTAGCAGCAAACCATGATGACAGCTTCTTGATGCCTCTTCTTCTATTATCCTTAGACCTTCCGTCTTGCTGAAATTCTGTTATGAGTTGTTTCATATTCTCAGAAACAAGCGCGACTACCTCAGCAGACAAGTCGAATTCAACAGCAATAATGTTCTCCATGATATCCGAAATTGTATCAAATCCAAGTAAGAACTCAAAATGTATCGTCCTAACCATATCGTTGCGAATCATCCTCAAAGTAATAGAAATTGATACATCCTCTGACATTATCCCCTGTAACCTGAATTTCTTATCTCCACTGTCAAATTTCCTCAGTACTTCTGTTGGTGGCAGTAGTAATCTAGCCACCTGATCTTGCATAATACGGCAGTAGTAACCTATCTTGCATAATACGGCAGTAGTAACCTGAACACGTAGATGATCTTGTAGGAAATACGGCAATCAAAAATTGGTGTAGACAGATTTTAAGTGCGCTACATAACATTATCTTCATTCTCATGATCCGCCTATTACTCATGATCCATAACGCGGCGTACCTTGCAAAAATTATAATCTTCTCCTTTATGAAGCTCTGGTGCCATGTAACTCGGCGTACCATATTTCCTGTTCTAGGTCCCCTGTTCAAGACTCAGAGCGTACCATAAAGATGTTTTTGGCCTTAATGTCATGGTGAACAATCGGCGGAGTTTGACTGTGAAGATAAGCTATCGCATTCAGAATCTGTCGACACCAATTCTTGACCGCAGCATTATTATCTTCAGACTTGTGTGTTTTGAGATACTCAGTAATCATGTGAATGGTTCTCTCTTCGTTGTCAACCCAAGACTCATAGCATTTAAAAACCTCATTAGATCACCTTCTAACAATAAAAGCTTAAGAAATTCCTCGTTCTTCTCTAAATCCTTTGTTATATATGTTTTACACCAAGCAATTTCTATACTAGCTTCCTTACCTTTGGTATCGCCCACTCGAATCCGTCTCGATTTCATCATTGCTGTTACCTCCCTGTGAAGTCGAAGCCATGAGTAACAAAATCTAATAGAGATAGAACAAGCATTATTTATGAGTAACGTAAGAGTTTATTTACATTGAAGAAAAGTAAGATGGAATGTGACAATAAAAACGAAAATTATGATTTGAAGAGTAATTCTAAATTTCTAATGGTTATATATATTTATAACAATTGGGGTGAAGTCGGTAATCAAGAAACTGAAAATACTATTTCTTGATTTTCACATTAATAAATTTCTTTGTAAAAAGAAATTAAGTATTTTCTTTTCACAAAAATAACTGGTTTTACCACTTAATAATATGTAATTTTGGACTAAAGTATAAATTTGGACTAATTTGCAAAGTGCTTAATGTGTGTTATCCTAAGTTTAAGTTAAATTAATTATTGCATTTTCAACGAGAGTAGTCTATACACCGAAAGTAAAAAGCTAATTAAAAGAGTAAATATCTATCTCTACATTTAGTATTTGAAAACACAAACCATATCACCATCATGTCACATTTAAATTTTATTTTTCACTCATGTTACATGTCACCTCATTTAACCTTTCTTATTTTAATCCCCTTTCTCATAAAAAAAAAAAAAAAAAAAAAAAAAAAAAATAGCTTTAATTCATGGTGTACCTGTCATATGGTTCATACGGAAATTCTGTTATGAGATGTTCCATATTCTCAGAAACCAACGCGATTACTTCAGCATTCGAGTCAATTTCTCCTTGAATGTTCTCCATGATATCAGGAATTGTATCAACTCCGAGCAAGAATTCAAAACTTATCGTTTTAACCATATCAATGCCATCAATAATAATCCTCAAAGTAATAGATATTGATACATCCTCTGACATTATCCCCTGTAACCAGAATTTCTTATCCCCGCTGTCAAATTCCTTGAGCACTTCTGTAGGCTGCAGTAGTAGTGTAGTCACCTGATCTCGCACAGTTTCTCTGAGAGTCTGATTACCAGCAGCACTACTAGTACTAGCAGTCGATGTTTCAGTAACATCAACTGCGAGAAATTGGTCATTATTCAGAAGGAATTCTGCCATCGGTCTAGAAGAATCCATACAGCTCTCCATGAAATCCTTTGTCTGAGTGTTCTTCACTCCGGATAGCGCAAAAGCCGCAAATGACTCCAAACTACTCCGATTTGTTAGATATTTTGAAGAGGGATGAAAAGAATAATGCACGGAAGCTATAGAACAGAAACTCAAACCTATGACTCAATATTTTCGCCACAATGAAATCAACTTACATAATGCATTTAAATAGAAAGAAAAACCTAACTAATTGGTCCTATAATTTAGGAACATAAACTCACTAACATAGTAACATTACTCCACTAACCCAATGATAATTTGACCACCAATAGTTTCGTTCAACACATCTAACTTACTGACTACTAACTGATTTCCTAAATAATAGTACCAAGTTTGACTAATTGGCTCACTACATATTTTAACTACGAAACTAATATCCCTAACAATAAGATATAGCAACTAACGTATCTTTGAAGCACAACACCAACACGATTGTCTCTCATTCTTGGATGGGCAATCCAATTGAACTTATCCTTTAGTAACTTCGCATTCGCCATCTCTGCGCGCATCCCAAGTCTCCTAGTTTAATCGTGCCCGTGTTACCATTAAAAAATATGTTATCACACTTAATATCACAGTGATAACAGGCGGATCACGAGTATGAAGATAATGTGACGCACTTAGAATCTGTCTACACCAATTCTTGATTTTTATATTATAATTAAATAAGTATTGATAGAGAATATTCATATAGGATATATCTTATAATCTTATACAAAATATATCCTATACCTAGGAAGAGAATATTCTATCAAGTATCTTTAATTTGCCTTTTAATTAAATGAAATCCTAACATTAATATAAGATATATTTTTAATAAATTAAAGTCACTGGTTTTTTCCATTTCAGCAATGTGCTATCTTATCTCAAATGACTGGTGAAACAAAACAAATTAAGTAGAAATAATAAAATCGTTCACTCCCATTATTTCAATTTAAAAATTCTAGTTAAAATTTAATTGTTACTAATTCTTGATTGATAAAAAAATTTATGTCTCGTTTCTAATTAGCTTCTTATGTTACTCTCTTAAAAAAAAAAGCATTACTTATGTGTGGAGAATTTTATTATTACAAACAAAACACAGTACATATAAAGTACTACTAAAAGTATTAATTATATTGAAAAGGAAAGCTTTTGTTACACAATAGATGCTTGTAAAGAATTAAAAAGAATTCAGTAGAACTTAAGTACAAACTTACTAGCTAACTCACTAATATAATGTTCTGTTTTCCAAATCAAACAATTAAAAATTGAAAGACAATTAATCGACAAATCAAAGAAAGCAAAAACCAGATACCTAGACCTAAAATCGAGCAATCGTATACACTTAATAAGACTCAAAGTATCTCTAACATGCCTAAAATTATAGTCACTTTTAGTACAGTACACTAACATAAAAGAATATCATTGAATAGTCTATTTTTGTAGTAAAGAATCAAATTGATCTGGGTTTAGTGCAGCATAAAAATGATAACAGCTTCAATTTCCTGATGCCTCTTCTTCTATTATCCTCAGATCTTCCGTCTTGCGTCTGCTGTTCCTTGGAAATTGAAGGTGTGTTACTGTCATGAGGCTGAAATTCTGTTATTAGTTGTTCCAAATTCTCAGAAACCACCGCGATTACTTCAGCAGACAAGTCAAACTCTACTGCAATATCCGCCATGATGTCAGGAATTGTATCGACTCCAAGCAAGAACTCAAAATACATCATTCTAACCGAATCATTGCCATCAGTAATACTCCTCAGAGTAATAGATATCAATACATCCTCTGACATTTTCCCCTGTAACCTGAATTTCTTATTTCTACTGTCAAAGTCCTTCAGTACTTCTGCAGGCGGCTGCAGTAGTTCAGCCACCTGATCTCGCACAGATTTTCTCAGACTCAGATTACCAGCAGCAGTACTAGTACTAGCAGCCGATGTTTCTGTAACATCGACTGCAAGAAATGAGTCCTCTAAAAGTTCCAATGCCGTGGTTCTTGGAGCAGGAGGGAGACACTTATTACTAAATCGCGCAATTTCTTTGTTTTTCACCCCGGCTAGCACAGACAAGTTGTAAGCCATCGGATGGGAAAAAAATTCGGGTCCACCACCGCCAAATACCATGCCACCCAACCTGACCTCACCGCATAGTAGTAATCTCCTATCCGCCATCTCTGCTACTGTAGCCCCAAACTTCTTTATGTCAGCTATAACCAATTCTTGATTATACGCCTTTGCAATTCCAAAGTCTCCTAATTTAATCGTGCCCGTTTTACCATCAACAAATATGTTAGCACACTTAACATCAAGGTGACAAACAGGCTGATCACGAGTATGAATATAATGTAACGCGCTTAAAATCTGTCTACACCAATTCTTGATCATCACTGTATTAGCAACAAGATTATGTTCTAAAATGTAGTGTCTCAAGTCCCCCGAAGAACAATACTCAGTAATCATGTTCACGACTTTATTGGGTTTATCTAACCAATGATCGTAGCATTTAATTATGTTTTCGTGCTCTAATGACATCGATAATTCAGCTTCAGCACATCTCTTAGACTTCTTTATTTGCCGTGTAAATGGTATCTTACCCCAAGCTATTTCAATGCCTTTAACCTCATCGAACCCCAAGTAAACTTTTTTAAAGGAGCCGCTTCCTAGGGGTTTGTTGGACCTTGAGAGTTTTCTTTCCTCATCCCTTTCCACAATCCTCCATTCGATTGAACTCGAAGATGCCATTACTAGTTTAGTACGTAGTAATTAGGAATGATATAACACAATGAAAGAAAGAAAGAAGCTAAGATTTGTGATGATTTTAATGGATTGAAAATGAAGGGATATATAATTTTGAAGAAGAAACTAAATAATAGAAATGGATTTTAATGATTTTAATAGAAATATTTATAGTGGTAGTTATAAAGTTGTTAGTTTTGCAGGGGAAATCAGTTAAGTCGGTTATCAAGATCAACAAACATAAAATGGGTTTTCTTGATTTTTATATTGTAACTAAATATCTTTATTTATCAAAAACAAATTTAATTTTAATTTTAATTTAAGATATTTACTTGGAAATTAATAAATAAAAATGACTTGCTAATCAATTCACTCCCATATTATTACTTTGGAATTCAAAATTAACATGTGTTGCTAATCTTGATTAATTAATAATTCATGTTTGCACTTTTAATTAGCTTCTTAGTTCTTGATTTGGGGACGGGTGCATATGACCATTGTTACTCTCCATTTTGAAATGTATTAACGATGTTTATTACTCCTTATTAATATAGATCTACCTTATTTTTACTATAGCATAAATTGAACGATTGTGATGGATAAGTATTACGAAGTATAAGTCTATAGCACACCCTGACTAAATGTCATGTAATAACAGGTTCTTGGCCTTCTAGCAATTGCATTATGTACTAAACGTGGAGGTGATCATGGACCGGGATGGGCTTTGAATTGCCACAAAAAAAAAAAAACCCATTTTGGGCCAAGCCTTCGATTCGGGCCCAACTTCACTCAGAAAAAGTCGTGTCAAAACCTCCTATTTCAGGTCAAAATCGGATCAGACCAAAATTTTAACTAAAAATGGTTGATAAATGTAATATGGAGTATATAATTAAATAGAAATTGTTTGGGGTAAAAAAAAACCCCTCCTATGCCACGTGGCCCAATACCGTGCTGAGACGTGGCAGCCCTTTAAAGGCCCATTGGAATCCAATCGGATGCTGACACGTGGCATTGTAACCTTAATGGGGGAGCAGATCTTCATCTGCTATAAATAGAGGAAATTCCTCTTTTTTACACATTCATAAATACATACACAAAAACCGAGCAATATTAATTGCGGATTTTCTCTGAATCAGGGAGAAAAACCCATTTACTTTCCGCACTTTTACCCATCCGGAATCATACTAACTTGATCGTCGGAGGTGGAATTCCACCCAACCGGAGTTTTGTGGTTTTGCAGGTACGGACGTCAGGCGCGCATTCCCAGAATTGTAACTCTCCCGAGGGACTCCAAAAACCCCGAAACATTTGGCAGCCGGCCTACGGTTGAACCTGAGGTCCATACTGACAATGACAGTGGTGAAGACTACGAGGTCGACACCTATGTGGCCCCAGACGGGTCATTTCGAACGAGATGCACCCGTTTCAAAGAGAAGAAGGAACGGGGCCAAAACGAAACTGGTCCCAAGAACCTAGGCGGCAAGCACGCTGGGCACTCCCAGTTGGCGGAGGGCACGGCCCCCGTCACCAGAGACGAGCTCATGAAATTCATGACGAGTTCCAAGGGGGAAATAAAAGACATAACCAAGAAGTCAACTGGCTCGAACAAGGATCAGTCGACAAAAAAGCCTTCTCCCTCCGGGAAGAAGCAGATTAAAGACCAGGTGCCTACTCCTCACCCCAAACCCAAGGGGACGGATGGGCCCCTGATCGACCTCTCCAAACTTCGTTTCCCTGAATCAGGGCAAAGGAAGGTCATCCGGCAAGTTCAGCCGGATGGGTCCAAAAACACTTTCTCTGACGCCCGAATGTTCATCCAGGAGAAGATAAGTCAGCAAATGTCTAGGTCGGATTCAACGTCGACTTACTTAGACAGTTTCCGCAATACTTTAATGAAGCATTCGGAGACGCATCAAGGGACACTACTAGAAAACAGCCAATCAACGACGGAAAAAATCCGTCGGAAAACCCTGAAATTCCGTCGGAAGGCGTCGTCGCATTATGGTTTGTAGGAATTTCGCGATATTCCGAGGGAAATTCCGTCGGAAAGGTCCATTCCGACGGAATTTTTTACGGATTTTGCTCTGTCGGAGTCAAGTTTGACTTAATTGTGAAGTCCGTCGCAACATTCCGACGGACTGAATTCCGTCGGAACCTACAACCTTCCGACTATGTTTCCGATGGAAATTTCGATGGAAAGTTTAATATTCCGTCGGAAAGTTTAATAAAAAAAAAATAAAAAAAAAAAAAAAAAAAAAAAAAACAGGCCCACCTACCCCTAACCCACTGCCCACACCCACCACTCCTAACCCACTGCCCCACCTACCCCTAACCCACTGCCCACCCCCTAACCCCAACCCACCACTGCCCACATTAACCAACCCCCACCACCGTAACCCACCCACACCCTTAACCCCAACCCACCCCACAGCCACCCCAGCCCTAACCCCACCACTGTAACCCCACCAAACACCCTTAACCCACCCCCCAACCCACCACGACCATCTTAACCCAGACTCACGCCACCAAACCCATGAAACCACCCACAACCCTAACTAACCCTAACCCACGCCACCAAACCCCACGAAACCACCCAAAAATTCCCACATCGCCACCCACCACTAGCCCACACGTCATACACACACACTACAACTAATAGGCTCAAAAATTTCAAAAAAAAAAAAAGAAAAAAAACTCAGAAAACCGAAAAATTAAAAAAAAAACATACCTTGAATTGAAATGAGCTTCGAATTTCATCACGAAAACAGTTTAACAAGGCCAAATTCGGCCATGAAAAGTCTAGATCTAGGCTTTTATTGGTCGAATTTGACCTAATTAACCATTAAAATAATCAAAATCGAAGTTGTTTTTTTTAGTAAGTAAATCAAACGGTTGAACAGTGAGACACCCAAAGAAATCGAAGCAAATCCTGATAAAAATGCTCCATTGTTACCCAGAAAACGTGAAGAAAAAGCTAGATTTATACTTGGTGGTGGTTGTGTCGAAGAGAAGAAAAAGGAAGAGGAAGGACAAAAGAAAAGGAAGGACGAAGGAGAAGGAAGGAGAATGAGAAGGAAAAGGAAGGAGAAGGAAGGAGAAGAGGAAAAATGAGAGGAAAGAGGAGAGGAGAGAGAAAGAGAAGATAATAGAAGAGAAGAGGGGCGGCAGAGAGGAGAGAGAAAAGAGAAATGAAGAAGAGGGGTAGGGTTCTGAAATTAAATGAGAGGAAAGAGGAGAGGAGAGAGAAATGGCGAAGCCTATATACAGGTGACAGAACTCTGTGCCATCAAGCACTCGTCGGAGCCAAGTAGGTCCGACAAGAAAGATAGCCAGCTTGCCCAGCCGGCCAAAAAAGAAGAGGGCAAGAATAGAAAAGAAGTCTGGGCGGCGGATCGCTCTGATCAACTGTCCCAGAAGAAACAGAGAAAGTTGGAACCGTACGTCCCCAAGTAAGAGTTCAACAAGGACTGCTCCTCCATCCTCATGGAGGTCAAAGACCGGTTAACTCTTGAAAAACCGGCTGCTATGAAGAGTTCTATCAAGAACCGTGACAAGAGCAAGTACTGTCACTTCCATGAGGATGTTGGCCATGACACCAATGGTTGCTATAGCCTCAAGCGGCTATTGGACCGTCTGGCTAACGAGGGGGCTCTGAAGTCCTACTTGGTGAAGTCCAAGGGTAACCCCAAACCCAACAATGGGCAAGCGTCAAAGAAGTCGGCTGTGAGCTCTGATACTGATGAAGAACACATCTTCACCATAGCAGGCGGCTTCGCAAGCGGAGGTCCTACCATCCGGGGTACCAAGTATAGCATCCGGAAACTATCCAACCTAGAGGATGAGGGCCTGGCGTCGAAAGATACCTTCCCTGAGGTCTTCATCTCTGAGAAGGATCGGGGTATGGTCAGGCGGCCCCATGATGACCCAATTGTCATCGAATGCAAGGTTTCCAATCAATGAGTGGACCGGATCCTCATCGATACTAGGAGCTCGTCTGACCTGATCAGCTACCAATACTTGGCAAAGCTCAAGTACAAGCCTAGCAGTATGCACAAGGCTTCTCACCCCCTAGTCGGCTTTGGGGGAAGAGTAGTGCATCCGGTGGGGAGAATTGACCTACCCATCCGACTAGGAGAGAAGGGGGAAGGACGACACATGGTCGTCAAGTTTTTGGTGGTCGCGGAATTGACCGCCTACAATCTCATTTTGGGTCGTCCTACCCTCAACGAGTCCAAGTCAGTCATCATCCCATCCCTCATGCTGATTAAGTTTAAGAGGGATGATGGTTTAGTCGGTGCCCTGAGCAGGGACCAAAAGATGGCTAGATACCCTTGTGGAAAAAAGATCAAGAGAAAACAACATTCGTCACTGATCAAGGGTTGTTCTGTTATACGGTGATGTCGTTTGGGCTAAAGAATGCGCCTGCTACCTTCCAACGGATGATTAACATGGTCTTCATTAATCAAATTGGGAGGAATGTAGAAGCGTACATTAATGACATGATAGTCCAATCCAAGCTCCAGACGGATCATCTTCCTGACCTCCGAGAAACCTTCACCACCCTCAGGCGGCATAATGTCATGCTTGATCCGAAAAAGTGCGTCTTTGGTGTTGAGTCTGGGAAGTTTCTCGGATTCTTGATTGATCAAAGGGGGATAGAGGCCAATCTGGACAAAGTGCAGGCGGTAATTAACATGAAGTCACCCGGCACTGTCAGAGAAGTCCAAAGACTCACTGGTTGTCTGGCGGCGTTGGGGAGATTCCTCAGCCGGTCAGGTGACAAGTGCCTCTACTTCTTCCAGGCAATCAAGAAGAAGACTAGATTTGAATGGGGGGAGAATGCTGAGGTGGCATTCCAGAAGTTGAAGGAGAACCACCACTCTTTGCTACGGCTGGTCAGCCCTCTAGCAGGAGAAGTTCTCTACATGTATTTGGCCGTCTCAGATCATGCCCTTAGTGTCGTTCTCCTAGCTGAGAGAGACGACATTCAGCTCCCGGTCTATTTC